GGATTTTGGGGTCACTCCCGGATTTTGGGGGTCACTCCCGGATTTTGGGGTTCCTCCCAGCTGGGGGTGTCGGTGCCCCCCCACGCTCTGCGCCTGCCCCCGGAGCCGATCACGCGCTGGGGCCACTCCTGGTGCGACGTCACGGTGAGAGCGCGCGGCCTTCCTCCTCATCCTCATCCTCATCCTCCTCATCCTCCTCATCCTCATCCTCATCCTCATCCTCATCCTCATCCTCCTCATCCTCCTCATCCTCATCCTCCTCCTCATCCTCCTCATCCTCATCCTCTTCCTCTCCTCCTCCTCCTCCTCCTCTTCCTCCTCATCCTCATCCTCTTCATCCTCATCCTCATCCTCTTCATCCTCATCCTCATCCTCTTCATCCTCATCCTCATCCTCCTCATCCTCATCCTCCTCCTCCTCCTCATCTTCATCTTCATCCTCCTCATCCTCATCCTCCTCATCCTCATCTTCGTCATCCTCATCCTCATCCTCATCCTCCTCATCCTCCTCCTCATCCTCCTCATCCTCCTCCTCATCCTCCTCATCCTCCTCCTCATCCTCCTCATCCTCATCCTCATCCTCTTCCTCTCCTCATCCTCCTCCTCCTCTTCCTCCTCATCCTCATCCTCCTCCTCCTCTTCCTCTTCCTCTTCCTCCTCCTCTTCCTCTTCCTCTTCCTCTTCCTCTTCCTCTTCCTCTCCCTCTCCCTCTCCCTCTTCCTCTTCCTCCTCTTCCTCTTCCTCTCCCTCTTCCTCTCCCTCTCCCTCTCCCTCTTCCTCTTCCTCTTCCTCTTCCTCCCGTTCCATTGGGTCGATCCGGGGGATTTTGGGGTTCCATGGGGGATTTGGGGGTCCCGGGGCTGTTTTTGGGGTCCTGGGGCTGTTTTTTGGGGTGCCAGGTGAGCGGGCCGGACACGGCGCCGGTGCCCGTGGGGCCCTGGGGTGGTTTGGGGTGCCTCCGGTGGTTTGGGGTGGTTTTGGGGTAGTTTTTGGGGTGACTCAGGTGGTTTTGGGGTGGTTTTTGGGGTGACTCAGGTGGTTTTGGGTGGTTTTGGGGTGGTTTTTTGGGGTGGTTTTGGGGTGGTTTTTTGGGGTGGTTTTGGGGTGGTTTTTTGGGGTGACTCAGGTGGTTTTGGGGGGTGTTTTTGGCTGTTTTGGGGGTGTTTCTGGGGTGTTTTTGGGGCTGTTTTTGGGTTTTTTTTGGGCTATTTTTGGGGTGACCCGGCTGTTTTTGGGGTGTTTTTGGTTGTTTTGGGGTGTTTCTGGGGCTGTTTTTGGGCTTTTCTTTGGCTGTTTTTGGGGTGACCCGGCTGTTTTTGGGGTGTTTTTGGCTGTTTTTGGGGTGTTTCTGGGCTGGTTTTTTGGCTGTTTTTGGGGTGACCCGGCTGTTTTTGGGGTGCCAGGTGAACGGGCTGGACACGGTGCGGGTGCCCATGGACGTGGTGCAGTTCCTGCACCCCAAAACCAAACGCTTCCGGCACTGGCGGCAGCGGCAGCAGCAGCAGCTCGAGAGCAGCCGGGAGCGGCTCCTCTGAATTTGGGGTCCCCCCCGACGGATTTGGGGTCCCCAGAATGGATTTGGGGTCCCCAGGAATTTTTGGGGTCCCCAGGAATTTTTGGGGTCCCCTGGAATTTTTGGGGGTGTCTCTGGAACTCTTGTGGGGGGGGGGGGGAAAGAAAAAAAAAAAAAAAAAAAAAGAATTTTGGAATTTTGGGATCCGAATTTGTGGGGGAAGCCCCGCCCCCCCTCGGCCTGGTGTCCCCAAAGTGCCACCACGGGGGGGTCCCCAAAATGTCCCCAAAGTGCCACTGCAGGTGTCCCCAAAGCCACCTCAGGGTGTCCCCAAAGTGCCACCATGGGGTCCCCAAAATGTCCCCAAAGTGCCACTGCAGGTGTCCCCAAAGCCACCTCCCCCATGTCCCCAAAGTGCCACCATGGGGGGGTCCCCAAAATGTCCCCCAAGTGCCACCATGGGGGGGTCCCCAAAGTGTCCCCAAAATGTCCCCCAGGTGCCACCTCGGGGTGTCCCCAGAGCCACCCCCGGTGTCCCCCCGGTGTCACCCCTCGGGGGGGGCGGCGGTGCCACCTCGGCTGTCACCGACTCGTTGCTGTGACAACCGGGGGGACCCGGGGACAGCGGGGGGGAGGGAGGGGACACGGGGGGGGACACCGGGACACCGGGGGGGACACCCGGGGTGACACCGGGGGTGGCACCGGGACACCAG